AAGATGTACAGCATGGAAACAGACCCTTCAGTCCAACTCATCCATGCCGACCAATTTCCTAAATTAATCTAGTCCCATTTGCCAGCATTTGGGGCACATCCCTCTAAACCTTTCCTATTTATGTACCCATCCAAGTACAAAGTTGTAATTGTACCAGCCTCCACCATTTCTTCTGGCAGTTCATTCTACATATGTACCACCCTCTGCATGAAAATGTTGTCCCTTAGGTCCCTTTTAAATCATTCCCCTCGCTCCCTTAAACCTATGCCCTTTAGTTTTGGGCTCCTTTACCCTGGGAAAGAGACCATGGCTATTCACCCTATACATGCCCCCTCATGATTTTATACACTTCTACTAAGGTTACCCCTCAGCCTCTAATGCTCCTATTTAACCTCTCCCTACAGCTCGAACTCTCCAACCCTGGCAATACCCTTGTAAACCATCTGCATCCTTTCAAGTTTAACAACAGCCTTCCTATAGCAGGGTGACCAGAACTGAACACAGTATTCCAAAAGTGGCCTAACCGATGTCCTAGACAACTGCAACACGACATCCCAACTCCCTTACTCAGTGTAATAAAACCAATAAAGACAAGTGTACCAAACACATTCTTTACTACCCTGTCTACTTGTGACTCAACCTTCAAAGGAAATATGAACCTGTACCCCAAGGTCTTTGATCAGCAACACTCCCCAGGACTCTACCATAAACTGTATAAATCCTGCCCTGATTTCCTTTACCAAAATGCAACACCTCACACTTATCTAAATTAAACTCCATCTGCCACCCCTCGGCCTATCTGATCAAGGTCCCATTGTAGTCTGAAGTAACCTTCTTCACTATCCACTACACTACCAATTTCGGTGTCATCTGCAAACTTAGTAACCATTCCTCCTATTTTCACATTCAATCATTTATATAAATGACAAAAAGCAGTGGACCCAGCACCAATCCTTGCGACACATCGCTGGTCACAGGTCTTTAGTCCCAAGAAAAAAAAAGTCTCCACCACCACCCTCTGGCTTAAAGGTAGGAGACAATTTTGTATCCAAATGGCTAGGTCTCCCAGGATTCCACGTGTTCTAACCTTGCTAACCAGTCTACCATGTGGAACCTTGTCGAACACCTTGCTGAAGTCCATATAGACAAACGTCTATCACTCTGTGTTCATCAATCTTCTGTCACTTCTTCAAAAAAAAAACTCAATCAAGTTAGTGAGACAATTTCCCCACACACAAAGCCATATTGACTATCCCTAATCAGTCTTCGCCTTTCCGATTATGTGTAGATCCTGTCCTTCAAAATTCCCTCCAACAACTTACCCACCACCGACATCAGGCTCACCAGTCTATAGTTCCCTGGCTTTTTCTTACCGCCTTTCTTAAATAATGGTACCACTTTAGCCACCCTCCAATCTTCTGGCACCTCACCTGCAGTTATCAATGATACAAATACTGCAGTAAGGGGCCCAGCAATCACTTCCCTTGCATCCCAAAGAGTTCTGGGATACACGTGATCAGGTCCCAGGATTTATCCAACTTTAAGAAATCCAGCACCTTCTCCTCTTTAACATGAACACATTTCAAGATTTCACTGTTTATTTCTCCAAGTTCCCTAGTTTCCGTATTCTTCTCCACAGCAAATACCAATGCCAAATACTGATTTAGTATCCCATCCATCTCCTGTACTTCCACATACAGAAGGCTAAGTTGATCCTTAAAAAGGCATTTTTCTCTCCCTAGTTACTCTTTTGCCCTTGATGTATTTGTAGAATCTCTTAATCCTATTTACCAAAGCTAAGGTGAATCCTATCTCATGTCACCTTTTTGCCCTCCTGATATCCGTGTTGAATATACTCCTACTGCCCTTATACGCGAGGGATTCACTCAATTCCAGCTGTCCATACCTGCCATATTGCCTCTTTTTTGTCCCCTTAACCAGGGCTTCAATTCCTCCAGTCATCCAGAATTCCCTGTACGTACCACCTTGCTCTTCACACTAACAGGAATGTACTGCTTCTGGATTCTTGTTATCTCATTTCTGAAGGCCTTCCACTTTCCAACCACCCCTTTACCTGCAAATAGCCTCCTCCAAACAACTTTTGAATGTTCTTGTCTAACATTGTCAAAATTGGCCTTATTCTAGTTTACAACTTTAACTTCTAGATCAGGTCTAGTTGAAGCCACAATTATTATTGCCCACATATATAATTAATATTCTTTAAACTAGAAAAAAGTAAACGTATAGGGAGTAATTCAGTGATAAGTCATGGCGTGGAATTTTCCACCTAGGTGATACAGCAAGTCAGGGGCACTTCTAATATCCATTGTGATCACAACTGCAAGATGTGTCTCCAACTGCAGCTA